GCCGGCAACCACAAGCCCCTTGCAAAGCCCACGACCACTCCCAGCTCCAGAAGGTGCTGGCGGGCTCCCCCCCGGCATTGGGGTGCCGCTCTGGTCCCCCCCACCGGTAAGGACTCACCAGCCCTGGACCTGCAACTCGCCTTGAACCGCCGGGCAAGGAACTTGTTCTTCATCTCGAGGTAGTTCCCCTTGTGTATCTCTGACTTGAAGGGCTCGTTCAGGATCACGTAGCGCGGGTCGTTCTGGATGTCCTGCCAGCGGGCGTAGCCGTGACTGGTGCAGAGGGAGGGTCATCAAGGGAAGAACCAGCTGACAGCACACCCACCACATCACCAAACCCCCTCCCTGCTCATCACCGCACCGGCACCCCAGCTCCCGCGCCGGCACCCCAGCTCCCGCGCCTCACCGCTGCCCGACAGCGGGACACACGCTCCCACCAAGTCAAAGGGTACGTGACAATTCCTGCCAAGAGCCAGTAGTCGTGTCGGCGGTGCCAGATGTCGTAGATCTTGCCGGAGGAGATGGCAGCCCTCTCCTCGTTCTGCCACAGCGTGTGCGATCTCGTTGAGCTTCCCCGAGGAGATGGCGGCGCGTTCCTCGTTCTGCCACAGCGTGTGCAGCTCTGCGGAAGCAGAAGCGAGACAGCCCGGTCAGGCAGCGGGGCTGCCGGGGACGTCGCACAGAGCCGCAGGCAGGGCGAGCGGTGACGGGTCCCAGGCAGCCACAGGCACAAAACCCAGACGCTTTGCTGCTTTCTAAGCGGTTCACAACTCTTGCTCAGGGTCAGAGCTTCTGTGCAGCAGCTCTGCAGGAGCAGCCACCGCCTCATCTCGTGCTCCTTCCTACCTGTAAAGCCACCGTCAGCAATGTTGAACATGAATCGGAAGTTCACGTTTCTGTTGTCCTTCTTTCCATCCTCCTCTTCCTCTTTGTCACCATTTTGCTGAGCTTCGCTTTGCTCCTTCTCCTCCACCTTGGTGTCCTCTGCTTGGCAAAGACAAGAAATGGCACCTCCCTAATCATACTCTGCCAAAAGACCGGCCAGTGTCACCCTCGCCCCATCAGCTGCCAGAGGAACTCCCTGCTAAAGCCACTGTTGGAAAAGCCACCAGCCTTCCAGCAGGTCCTTCTGTTCACACAGGCAGTGCCCACCCTAACGGGTGCTCCTGCTCCTGGCTCCTGAGTGTCACCTGAGGGTGAGCACCAGCTGCTGTGGGTGCTGACCGTCACCCCACCAACAGGCTCCCTGGCCCCTGCGCCAGGTACCCGCCTTGGAGACCCCTCCCACCACTTCTCGCCCCAAAGCCTCCTCACCCCTTACCTGGTTTGACTTCTTTGTCCTCCCCTTTCCCTGGGCTGCTGTTCAACTCTGGCTTCTCCAAAGGTTTCTCCTTCTCTTGAATTCCCTCATCTGCAGAAGAGAACGGGACTATGAGAAAAGCTTGACGTGCAAAATGCTCTTCAGGGAGCAAGAATTGACTTGTCCAAACAGACTCTCCCTTTTAGGGCAAAGGCATTACATTGTTTTTAGGTTCAAGATGTTTGAAAAACTTCTAACGGAATATTCTTCTGCATTTTATCAAAACAAAGTATTTAGTTTTCCCTCTTCCTTGAGACACCTGGAAGAACATATTGCTAGGAACAGAAAATGCCCACAAAACGAGCACTTCTCGTCCTTTATCACCTGGAACTGTTGGTTTTTCAGGAGCTGCTATAGGACCGTGCAGCACTTGGGTTTCACAGGGCCACTGCTGGGGGCCACAGCCCCACAGAATTCCCAGCTGCAGCTAAGGGGGGAGCCCACACGTGGGGATCACGTACATCCAGCCACAGACACTCACCTTTCACCAGCGGCTCGGGAGGAGGCTCAGCCTTTTCACTCTCCTCTTGCTTCTCCTCCCTCGGTTTCTCCTTGCTGTCGCAGCTTTCTGGGTGCTCTTCACTCTCCACCTTCTCAGCACTCGCAGGCACCTTAACGTAAAGTGCCCCCACCAGATCAGCCCAGCCCTGCTGCTTCCTCAGAGAGCGCTCCGAACTCCCAGGCTGGCCATGAGAAGGCTTCCTGGTGGAGATGCTGGGTGAAGCCACCCTACCTGGCTCTCAGACACCTTCCTGGGCTTCTGCTCCACTTGCTCCCTTTCCTCCTGGAACCCGAGCTGTGTTTCTGTTTTGTCTGTAGCAACAGCAAAGCAAAGAGCCATGGAACAGGGCCCCCGAGGGCCACGCACACTGCCAGGGTAGGCAGACACCTGTGAGACCTCCTGGTGTCCTGGCCCACCTCCATTCCCACACCAGACCAAAGCCACGATCCCCTGGAAGCCTGTAGGCAACACCCACCTGCAAGGGCCACAGGTCCCACGTGCATATGTGCTGGGCTGGCTGGGACGGGGGTGTTGGGATCTGAAGACACAACCTCGCTGCACTTCTTGCTCTCCGGCCCCTCGAGAATCAGATCTGGGGTGCTGTACTTCCCGTTGACATGTTCAAACTCCTGGACCTGGGGCAGACACACACCATCAAGTCACACAGAGCAGAGACAGTCCCAGCCCAGTGCTGCTGAGCCAGCGTGTTCAGGCTGCTTCACCCGCAGGTTCCCAAAGTGGCAGGGAGGCTGTAGCCATCCTGGGGCACCACAGCTCTGAGACCCAACAAGTCTCCAATGTGATTGCTCTTTTTTTGCCAGCCAGACTATTAAATACCTGCTCACCCAACGTCCCTCCCAGGGAGGGAAGGGGCAGGGTTCAAGGGGCAGTCTGCATTACCATCACTTATA